ACGCGACGGCCAGTGATAATATCACATGGCATTTTATCCCAGCCTCAGCTCCACATTTCGGAGGAATGTGGGAGGCGGGAGTTCGTAGTCTCAAGCATCACTTGCGCCGCGTTCTGAAAGATCATACTCTCAGCTTTGAGGAGTTTACAACTCTACTCTATCGGGTTGAAGCGTGCCTAAATTCTCCTCCGATTGCGCCTCTGAACGACACTCTCGATAGTTATGAACCGTTGACGCCGGGTCATTTCTTGATCGGATCCGCAATAACTGCAAGCCCTGAGCCCTCACTGCTCGATGTGAAAGAAAACCGTCTCACTCGATGGCAGCTCATTCGGCAACTCTCGGAGCGATTTTGGAAATTATGGGCTCATGATTATGTTAATACGCTTCAGCAAAGGAGCAAGTGGCGACGGATTCAGACGCCGATCAGGGAAGGACAGTTCGTCCTCCTTCGCAATCCCGCATTGCCTCCGTGCAAATGGGAGTTGGGAAGAGTGACTAGGTGTCATCCCGGACGAGATGGGTTGCCGCGTGTCGTTACCGTCAAAACGGCAACCGCGGAATACTTGCGACCGATTGTCAAGATATGCGTGCTCCCGATTGAGGGCGAATCGGATACGTCTTAAGCTCCAGATCTATCCAAAAAGAAGCAGGAGGAAGGAAGAGATGACAGCCTTCTCCGCTGTTTAGCATCTGCTCTGGAGGCCTTTCAATTTTTTTTTCTTTTTTTTCTTCCTTCTGTATGTTATTGATTGTGTATGGTATAGCGTGCGTCCGTTTCTCTTCTCTTCTCTTCTAAATTATATTCATTTTTTTTTTTCATTTTCATGCGTCAATATGATATCACTACATCATATTTCATCAAATGCGTCCGTTCATTTCATGTGTCAAGTGCGTCCTTAAATGACACACGGGGATCGCCGCAAGGCGGGCGGCAACTGCTCAGATCATCTTGGCCACGCGACGTCTCGTACGGCCCTGGATACTCGTTTCGAAACACGAGTTTCGAGGCGAGCGGTATGTTCGGGATTCGGCTCGGCTCTTTCAGCTTGCTTCTGAAATATTCCGTAGGAATATTCTAGAAGCATTCTAATAATAAGATCGAATAAGCTGAGAGACCGCATGACAACAATGTCTCGCGAGCGATGTGTTGTGCTGCCGAAATCAAAACATGATTCGGCGAATATCAGCGCAATTACTTGGAATCGGCGACACATCACAATACCGCTACATCATCGTGTATCAGAGCCGAGTCTCGACAATAACAAATCTCGCTCAACTCTCGCGACCGTTTTCGCGCTGAACCAATGAGATCGGCCAGCGTAGCCAACGCGACATTTATAAAACGACCGTGTAAGAAATCGACCGCTCAGAGCACAAAAATCTTGTATCACGTTCGTATAACGATATAGGACTCCGCGATCTCATTCCAGCCTTAACGACTGCTTCTTCGCGTGTCCGATCGTTTTCCATCAAAGACGAGTTGTGTCTAAAGCTACTCTCATCGTTTTGTTATTCACTAATAAAGATTGGCATTACTTGTTAAGTTTAATTATTGCACGTGCTCAAATTATTTACAACCACAAGTCGGTCCTTGATAATCAGCCCGTGTTCGCGCGCCCTGCGCTGGGTGTACCGGTGGAAGCGGAATTAATAACACCTATAAGTCCGCGTACAGCTTATTTATTTGATATAAACAATAATTTTATTAATTATTTATGGTACCTTCAAGTGGGTGTGTTTCGAACGGCCCGAAGGTGGAGAGCGGCCGGTTCGTTATGCGAGATGCGGATAGGTGTCCGCTCGCCGCGTGGAGACCGCGGGCTTCGTCGCTAGCAGTCCGCTATCCAGCGGCCCCGTAAGATGACGTGGGGTGCAAGTGATTCGCGAAGTTCTTCGGAGACGGGAGGCTTCGGCTCCGTGGTTTGGTGGGTCGTCGACTCGAATAAAGTGAGACAGGTCAATCGAAGCGGCGGCCCTGCGGTGATGCACCGCTTCCCAGCGCCTCCGCGCTAGGAAAGTTCCCCTTGTCGGAGGAGTAACGAGAATCGTAAAGTCGCGCGGGCGACGTAGACTGAGACGCGAGGGGAACTCGCGCGTGGAGTCGCGTACGCGGCGAGTATGGCTGCAGTACCAGTGAAGAAGCGAACGTGGTTCGCGTGTATATGCTGCGTCTCTGGCAGCGGCTAAGTCCTAGGCGGACGTAAATGCGAGCGTGGCTCGCGTGGATATGCTGCGTCTCTGGCAGCAGCTAAGTCCTACGCGGACGTGAAGGCGCGCTAGGTTCGCGGGTATATGCTGCGTCTCTGGCAGCGGCTAAGTCCTGCGCGGAAGTGAAGGCGAGCTAGGTTCGTGGGTATATGCTGCGTCTCTGGCAGCGCCTAAGTCCTGCGCGGACGTGAAGGCGAGCTAGGCTCGCGTGTATATGCTGCGTCTTGGCAGCGGCTAAGTCCTAGGCG